CTGCAGTTGGGTTTTTTTTTTACCAAAGTAAGTTTCATTTGTCAATGTTTGAAGAATTTTTGAATTGATGTACATTATTTTAAAGCTGAAAAATCCAGGGATTTGTTGTATAGCTGATGGAAACAATTCCATGGAAGTGTATCAGATGCAATTATAATGCTTAATGGTACTTTATACACTGTGTCCCATAATTATCTTTACAACTTTAACACTTAATAACTACATAATGAGATGAGATATCACAATGCGGTTTTTTGCATATGAAAGAGTAACTCTCAAAGTTTTCTCTTACGTTTACTTGCAGGTGACATCACACTTACTGAAAATGGCTACTCCACAGGAAATGGCGCAGTGTGTTTCCTGGTTCATAGAGACCAGATCAGCTACACAGGTCCAACGAAATTTCCGGACTACATATGGAAGAAAACCACCATCAAGACCAACAATTTATAACTGGCACCGGAAGTTTATGGAAACCGGCAGTGTCCTGCATCAAAAGGGTGCTGGCCGGCCAAGCACAAGTGCGAAGGATACTTAATGCGTTCATCAGGCGTTCGTTCATAGCCCTAGCAAGTCCATTCGTACCGACACCAGGCAAGTAAATTTACCACGTTCAACGATACACGGGGTGCTGCACAAGCGTTTGTAAGATAAAAGTAAGGGAAAAAACTTTGAAAGTTACTCTTTCATATTCAAAAAACTGCATTGTGATATCTCATCTCATTATTTGGTTATTAAGTGTTAAAGTTGTGAAGATAATTATGTGACATGGTGTATAGTTGTATACAAAGCCAAAGGTACAGAACTTGTCATAATACTGTAAATGTGATTGAAAGGCATACAGAATATGGTGTAAACAGTCCAGTGTGAACACTGGCAACTCAGTTACCCTAGTAATACTAACACTGTTACTGGAGAGGAGAAGAGAGATTCTCCACACTGCAAAAACAAAAGCAGTGTTGTGGCCCTACCACCGGTTTTGGATTTGTTGGTTATATTGTACTTCAGTTCTCATTAACAACTTTCTACAGAAATTAACAGTTTTAGTTGGCTCATACTTCTTCTTCTTGTGGGTCTTGGCCGCCTCTTTTTTTAGAGGTTACTTAGTCTTGAAGTGCATTTTGAGTAGTGAGTGACAAGCCTAATGCCTGCACAATTTCTACTCAATCCTGATTTGTCTGCTAGAGCCTTCTAGTAGAGAAATGACCACTGAATTTTGCATGTGAAATGTCTCGGTCTTGCTCGTAAGGTTCTTTTACAAGCCATAAATCTATGACATATGAGCCGGGATAGCTCAGCCAGAATAGTGACTAGCTACGGGCTGGGCGATCGGGGTTCGATCCCTGACGGGCAGAGGATTTTTCCTCTAGCCTCTGTGTCCAGACCAGCTCTGGGGCCTACCCATCCTCCTGTCCAATGGGTACCGGGATTCTTTCCTGGGGGTAAAGCACGACCGGGCGTGCTGCTGACCACTTACCCCCATCTAGTGCCGAGGTCAAGAAAGAATAGGAGCTATACTTCCGCTCACCCCAAGTGCCTGCATAGGCATGTAGCGGGACGCTTTACTTACGTACTTAAATCTATGACATGGGATGGACTGCCAGCCTTACTTCCCTTCTGAAGGAAGTTGTGCTACGGATTTTTATCGCTCTTAGAAATCCAACTACCTTGGCTGGGTTTGAACCCGTGAACCTTGGGTCCAGTGGTGAGCACACTAACCAAACAGTTACCTGTTACTAGTTCAGGTCTTATGATGTGTTTTCAAGTGCTAGCAAATACTTGTCATTTGATTTTTCTTGTCCGGGTAATAAATCATCTTACCCTTTGAACATTTAAAAGTACATAATTACAGGATATGAGTTAAGAAGGTATTACATACATGTTTATTTAATTTCTGAAAATTTAATTGTGTGAGTGTTGATAAATTATATGCCAGTGATGATAACTATTATTACTTCTTATGAAAAAATGATTACTTTTTAACATGCACTACCAGCTGAGGCATTTCATGTAGAGTATTATTCAATATGTATAGTTCCTTTTAAATTCTAAACTGATTTTTTGTGTTTCAGTATTATGGCGATTCTGATAGTCATGACCTTTGGCTATGAAAACAAGAATTTGGAAAGTTCAAGAAGTTTTTCCAAGTGCTTCTAACTGTATGATTAGTAGAGCAAAAAATGGACCAAAGCATTGTCTTTACCAAATCCCAAGCCAGGCCAGTAATAAAGTGAGTAAAGTAATGCCTTGTAAAAATAATATTAAATATCAATAGAAATCAGTGGTGCCAAAATACACGAACAGAAACAGTTTTGCAGTTTGAAAGAGTTATGCTCTCATTTTAAAAATTAACATTCAGGTGTCGAAGATGGTTTTTCAATGTTTGCATCCTTGTGACTCAGAAACTGTATTATGGCAGATGCGAGTGGTACACACATTGTGTGTGTATAATTCACCAGAATGTGAAGTTAATGTTGCATGTGCACAAAATATCTGAACTAACAAGAAGTACTGATCATCACTTATTTATGCACCAACACTTTCTCAACTACGATTTTCAATCCACCTTTAACAAATCATTTTTTCTGTGAGGGCAGTGAATGTCCGTGACCTTCTGATTTAGAAAATACAGTAGAAAAAAGTTCTTATACATCCTCTGGTGGTAGTTTGCGAATTAAATTAAAATAAAATGTAATCACTCACAACTTCTTTTAAGAATAATATTAGAAACAATATCAACAATATGATATAATTTACAAACTAAAATGTAAAGAATGCCCATTAACTTATATTGGTCAAACTGGACGTACATTCACAAATAGGTATAAAGAACACATTGCAGCAATAAAACATAATAAGGATAATTCAGCATATGCCAAACACATTCTAAACACTGGACATGCATATAGCACGATAACAGATACAATGGACATCTTAAAAATAGTGTACAATAAGAAACACAGAGACACGATAGAAAAATATCATATACAACAAGCATTCAAACAAAATGTTTGCTTGAATGACAATAATATTTATCTCAATAATCCCATCTTCAATTCCCTTCAAATACTTAACTCCACCTCCAACAACCTCCTTTCACTTGCCATCCCTACAAGACAACCGCAATCCACAACAAACACAGTTCAGTCAAAACACGGCAATACTTCCAGACAGATGTAACTCCTCTACAACATTTCTGGTATGTTTCAAAAATTATCTTCAATATATATTAATTTGTTTTCTATTTTACTAATATTCATTTAACCTTTATGTTATTTACATTACAGACTGATACAAAAACAACAAAACGTGTATGAAAATTGTATTTGAATTATTTATCGTTTTGAAGCTTTATATAATTATATACACCTGAGGATGGTTCTTTTAGGAACTGAAACATGTCGTGAAACATGAAAAATGATGGTCTAATGTAAATCGAATATTTCAATAAAGAGCATCGTTTAATATTTTAAATGTTAATTATTGTAATATTTTAATATTTAATAAGAATTTATTGTGATTAGACGGACAAGATTTAATATATATCTGTTAAGAATGTTTATTTTACGAAATATATTTTAGATCGATTAGAACCATTTTGGGCCTTGCAAGTTTAATGTTTGGAGTTGAAGTTGTATTTTCAATTATTACATGTATCTATTGGAAAGATGTACTATAGGGGAAGAGAGGGCATTGTGTAAGGGTTAAAGTTTCTTTTTTAAGTAAGAGTAATTTATTGTGCAGAACTATGTGTGAATCTAACCAGCTGTATCTTGTGGGAAGATGTATAGATATATCTGTGTAATGTACTCTGTGGGATACTGTACTACCATTAAGCGGCAAAAGTTTAAGATATTTTCCTCTTATAATTACTATCTATTAAATTAGAAGAATAGGTCCATGGAGAATTATAATGAATGGTGAATGTATTTCTGCTGAGCTAAAAAAAAATTATCCAAAATTCCACCATAAATAGATATTGGGAAATACAAAAAATTAATCTGGAATTTTACCTAAAATAATTTTCATGTATTTTATACATTTGATGTATTAATTTGTAGTTCTTTATGTATGTGCCGAGTTTCTGAAAAGCAGTAGTTGGAAATGCTAAACACAAAATTTTGAGTTTAATTTATGGTATAAGCGATGTGATCTCCACAGAATAACTGTGGGCTAGAAAGTAACAGTATTGAAGAGGATGGCCAATTTTTAAATTTCAGTACCATAAAAATCGCACGTTCTAATTATTCTTCCTGATTTGTAAATTTTCAATGCACCTCGCCATGTGGTTTGGCAGCCACAGACCAACACTCACTACCTGACAGATATGTACTCTAGGAAATGTGTAACGACAAAAAATTTATTTGCATGAAGTGCGCGTATGTCACATTTCAGCTTATAAACTTTAGAATACAAGGTGTGTTTGTATCGAGTATGATAGAAGTCTAACAGTCTATGAGGTCTAATCCGTAAACGCTGAAGGACGACATATTTTAAAATATTCTTCCGTTGGTAATTTTTTGTGACTATCACTTTGAATTTTATATTTTGAAATGGAAGTGTCGCATCCAGACCACTTATTGAGAATCTCTTGGAAGATTCTTTCAATAAGGATCTTGGGCAATATATGTCAATGCTGCCCTCTACTGTGGGACCCTTATGGCTGGTATTGCTGTGACTGCTGCAAAAGCCAGACCATCGCTAAAAGCATCGCTTCTGCTGGTGTATGTCTGTCCACGCTTGACTGTAATGGAATTTGTAAGTGTGGAGACATTGGATTAGTGAAGTGTCAACAGACGAAAACCGGGAACTCTTTAGTAATTAATTCATGTGAGGTCCTTTGTATGCACTTCAAAAACTAGTATTGGTGGGACAACACTTTCACACTTTACACTTTATCGGAGGCAGTCACAGTCACTGGTCTTCATGATTTGGTCTTGGCAGTCAAGGATCCAGGCATCTTAGCACATCTACTATTGCTGTTTCATCATCTTCATCTTAGTAATAAAGGAATCTATGTAGTCGATTGAAGATTGTTCTTGGGCTTTCACCCTTAAATGCAGCCCTACTCAATAGCTCCAAGGCCACCAGATAAGAGTGCATCCGCTCGGCAGATCTACAGTTCGTATCATGACGCGGGGAGTCAAAGGCCCATCGATTCCCTACCAGGGATACGACAAAAATTGGCGTCAGAAGTGGGATTTGCAAGGTTTTCTACAGATCTTCAGGAAACCAGCAGCGTAGTCAATCTTCTTCAGTGACAGCAGTTTATTTCCCATCATCCTACAAGGTCCATTTGGGAAGGCCAATCCAACCGGGGCTAGGCGAGTCG